CGCGTTAAGGGGGAGAGGGGATCCCCCCACCTCCCTGGGTGTGGGTCCTCGAGCCACAGCCGGACTAGAAAACACTGTTGCCTCGCAAGATCGCAAGATGGTTTTGACCAACTTTGTATGCAAGGAAAACAACCACAATAACAACAAGAAAAGCCAACAAAACACAGCAACCCCCGCGAGCCTTGCAAGAAACCGCTCTCCCCCTCGGAAGCCAGTTTCCAGGAGGCCGCTGCCGCGCCGCCCTCTCTGACCAGGGCTCGCTGAAACTTCATGAACCCAGAAGTCTTAACCAGAGGCTCTAGGAGGCTTTGGGCAACTGAACTTTGCTTTTCTAAGTCTCTGCAGCTCCTCGCACTGAGCGTTCTTCGACTCTCTCATTTAAAACCTTAGACATGCGGAGACCGCTAGTTTTTGAGTGGCTGCTCTGGACACGGATGTCTGATTCTGCTGGAGAAGCCCCCTCTGGCCCCCCAGTCAAAGCCCCAGACCCTTGGGTTCTTTTGGGGACTGGGGGGTTGGGGGGGGGGAGAGGGCAGGAGGCAGAAGACAATAACCACTGGAGTGAGAGCAAAAAGCATTTATAACAACAATGACAACGACGACACAAAACAACAATACACTCCTGATAAGTACTTAAATGATTAACCTAACAATAAATAGAAGAGGATAGAAATAATTTTTTTTTTCTTCTCAAGGAAACATCCTTTTATAATTCTCCTCACGCACGCTGGCAGGTCAGTAGCAGTCAATCCATCTCAACAAGAAAAGGTTAAGTGCTGGAAGGGACGGCTGTGGCCTTGCACTTGGGAGGGTTCTTAGCTGCTGGGTCACAAACACCGCCCCGCCCCCCCCCCCCCCAGCCAGCCACTCTAGCAGGTGCCTGGGGGCCCTGCGCACCTGCGCCCCTCGCTCAGCGGTCAGTAAGAGGCGGGCTGAGATTGGAGGGGGGTGGAGGGACGCTGGGGAGGCCTGTTTTCCCTTCAGTTCGTGAACAAACGGAACTACAGTGAACGTACTCACCCACAACCTGAATCGTCCTGGTCTAAAGCTTACTTTGAGTTCATTTGGTGTGCAATACATTATCTCTTAAAAAAATGAAGAAAAAATGATTTCTATTGCACAGAGCTTTTTACACATAGTCATCTACTTAAGTGCTTTCTGTTTAAAGCAAACTACAAAAAAAAAAAAAAAAAAGGAAGGGAGGGAAAAAAAGAACAAGAAAAAGAAGGGAAAATGAAGAGGGGGAGGAACTTTCAAACAAAAGTAGCCCCGTGCCACTTCGATGCATCTTGCTGAATGGTGTCTGGTTTCACCAACGGAAGTCCCAACGCTTCCGTACACACTGTGCTTCTGATTATTTTTTTCCATAGGGATGTAGCCGTGACATTGGGATATAAGGCACCTTTCCTTTCTGATCACAGAAAGCTTGATACATAGCATATAGCATATTTTGTGGTAGAAATTAAAGCCTAAATGCTACAGAAATGACAGCAACAGACTACACTCAACATTACTGGAGAAGCTAAAATGATCTGTGGAAAGCAACTCAAAGGTATTTTAAAAGGTTAATAACAGGGGGGAATGGGGAAGTGCACATTTATGCATAGCCTAATGCCTTTCTCTCACTAGCCTTTTTTAGGATTCTTCGCCTACAATGCCCAACTTTTCAAGTTAGCATTCCGGAGGAGACTAGGCGCTTTGGAAATGTCTTGTTAAAGCTAAATGTCACTTCATGCAAAGATGAGAATGGAGATACCGCGGACAGTGTGGTCACGGTATCTTTGGAGGGGAGGCGGAGGAAGGGCTGCGAGGCCTGGGCAGGTGGGGCCGGGTCCCACAAGTGGGAGAGCCCGGGGAAGCTGCTTTTCCTTTTTCCCCACGCAGGATGAGGCTCCAGGGCTGCTGGGGCAGGGAGCTTGGGCGGGGCTCATTTCCTGCCCAGCTCACTGCTCTCCACACCCCTCCTCTGCCTTCCAGATTCATTCCCTGGGTTTGGGCCTCTGCTTTTCAGCACATCTGTAAAGGGTTCGCAGGCTGGATCTTTTCAGAACTTTCATTGGGAACTGGTTTTCTTTTCCTGATGGTTTTCTTCTACGAAAAGGCAGACACTGACGGGAATGGAAAGAATTCTGTCAAACTGGACCCTTCTCTCAGCAAAACATTCCGGGCAATGGAACCATATCATGTCAAGAGTCCCAGGCCACCATCTTGCCACTTGGGACGGGAGCTCTGCCCTGGGTATGGGGTGGTGGGGTGGGGGTGGTCACGAAGGCTCCCCTGTTGCCACCAAGGGTCAGACGAAACTACAAAAGCACCGGGGGAACTTTTAAGTGCGAGCTTTCCTGGCAAATGCGCGAGCACGCGATAATGGCACAAATCCTTAGTTAGGCTCCCAAGTCTTTCCGTCAGGAGAACATTGGCCACCAGAGGGTGGGAACCACATCTAACCAGCGGCTCAGGGAGCTGTTTTTCTCCACCCCCCCCCCACCCCAGCACTGCATAGAAACCGCATATTCTTTTGGGAAGAGTCACGTGACTGAAGGCTGGATTTGTGGTCTTGGAGAGCACCATCTCCCGAAATCAGAGCCTCCCTGTGCCAGAGACAAGAGAGGCAGTGACCGCCCCCCCCCCCCGGGCCAGGTAGGGCTCCTGGGGATGTGTCCTCACGTGGCCAGTTAGGGGCAGCCCAGGGCAAGGGAAACGGCTGTGATGGATCTTAACAGCTGAGCAGGAGCGGGCAGAAAGCAAAGGCAGGCCAAAGACAAGGCCCTCTGAGGCCCGAGACCGCCCCTGCCAGCAAAGGAAACAGCTGTCAGAGCATTAGAAACAGGTGGAAGTCAAGAGAAAAATCCATGTGCCTCGCAGAGCGCAGCTGTCTGTCCATGTTGTGCTCACAAAAGAGAAGAGAAGAGGCCTGCCCACCAGGCCCAGACACACTCACGAATGCCACGCTTCTAGCTCTTTCCCTCACTCCCGCGCCAGAGTCCACTTGTGCCTCGCGGTTTTGAGGGGCTTGGGGTGGGGAGTGACGTTGAGCAGGAGCATAGGTCAGTGAGGTAGAAGGGGACGGAGGAGGAGGGTGCTGACGAGAGAGGACATCCAGAGAGGGAAGCAGACCTCCTGTCTGAAGGGACGTGGCCAAGGGCCACGCCGGCCACACGCGCCCAAACCTTGCCTTGCTGCATCTCCGCCGCACGGCTGGCCTCCGAAAGTGGGGGCTTGGGATGCCTAAGGGCGGACTCTTGTTCCTACAGGCCTGTCGAGGGGTGCCTGGCATAGTGCGTTTAAGGCAACGGCCGTTGTCCCCAACTCCGGATGTGGTCGGTCACTAACACCGGTTCACTTTGTGCTAATCGCAGAAGGGCGCGCGTATACCTCATCCCCTGGCCTCTGGCCCCGCTGCTACTTTCAGGGAAGTTTGTTTTTCTGAAGAGGAATGAGAAACATTGCATAGAACATCCACAGAGTTCAGTAATCACCACTGCGAGAGCACGCAGGCGTTCAGGAGGTAACCCAGTGCACCTGCAGCCGGGAAGGCACCGGCCTGTGGACTGAGCCGTCTGGTGACTCTTGTCCCCACCGCTTAGGCCACAACTGAGGCATGATCTTAGGGCAACGAGCCGACACCAGAGCTTTCCCTTGGGTTAGAGTACAGCCTGCCTTCTGCTTGGTTTCCTCATGAGCTGCCGACTGACATGGCTCCGGACCAGGGAGGCAGATGAGGGGTTTCCTTCCTCCTAGAGCTGGCCAGCTGGGCGGGGGGAGTGGTGGTGGCGGTACACGGGGAGGGTCTCCCATGGCCAGAGAGAACACAGAGAACCCCCCAACCCCAAGCTCTGAAACACTCTGGGTCCGGACTGACCAGCAGACCTGAATGTCCACATCGGATGGGACGATTTTTAAACAGGGAGAAAAACAAAGATGCTGAAGGAAGGAGACTGGGCAGGGAGGCGACTCATCTTTTTGCCTCAATCACTCTCACAGACATAGTGGCCATGGTTTGATAGTAGTCATACGGGTCAAGACCCCAACATCTCCTAGAGGCTTCTCCAGCCCACATCCCAGGACAGTGCGCGGACCACGGGTCCCCCCCATGATGTGATGTTCCTCACACAGGTCGGCTCTGAGAAGGCTCGAGACGAGCTGGATGGCCGCGGAAATCCTTTCTAAAGCACAGTGGTCTGGCGGACAGAGATCCCAGACCTGCCGACTGATCCAGAAGTTCAAGGTTGGCGGTCGCCCAGGAGCCAGATGGTGGAAACGAGCGGGCACGGGTCTAGGACGGAACCCACACCCCTTCCGCCTCAGATACCACGAGGGGGTATGGGTAGGAACCAAGGGTCAAGAGGCTGAACGTGAACATGGATTTTACACTGAGCCTCCACTTAGCCAGCTAAGTAATGGCAAAACCCTTAAGTTATGAACACGGTCTCCAATTAACAAAAAGAAGCCATTTAAAATGGTATAATGGAGCTTGTAATTAAGTGTTAGTGTTTTATACGGAACCGTTTTCCCCAGGGGAGAGGTACAAATCAGCTTTTTAAACTGATGGAGCATAAAGAGGAGGAGGTCGGCTGCCTGTGGGGGCTACAGCTCGGAATGCTAGCCAGCTGAAGGTAAGCCCCCCGGAGAGGGCGCTGTTCAAGGCACTTGAATATTGCTTATCAAGATGAAAGATCAACCCTTAGACTCAAACTGAGAGGTGCAACGAGGAGGGGGTGGGGGGTACACTCCCCGACCCCCTAACAGGTTTCTGTTATTTAGTGGCAGCTCTTAGAAGTATTACAGACAGTGAAAGCTGAACACGAAAGATCACTGGGATGGGACCACGATAAAAAATATATATATAAATAGAGAAAAAATACAAACACAGAACCGCAAGCAAACTTTAACCAACTGATTGTATCGAGCACCCAGATGTAAGTCTGGCAAAAAAAAAAAAAAAAAGGTAGAGTGGAAGTCAACAAAAACCTAGTTTAAAAACCACCACCACCACCACCACCACCACCACCAAAACCCAACAAAAATGACTAAATCGCTTGGAAGAGCCAAAGTGACTGTTTTAGACTGTTACTATTTGGCCACTAGGATGGACAAGTCTATACTTTTTCCATTTCCTTGGATTTAACGCCTTTGTAAATAACAGTCATGCCTTTAATAAAACTAAAACACTACCCTAGTATTTCTGGTTAACTCCCTGCTTTTCATTGCAATGAAAGATCAGATATTTAGAGATTCATCGCACATGAGGACACGATTCCCTCGAGGTTTTCGTGGAGAGGACATCACAGTACTGTCAGGGGCTCTGCTACTCACTGTCGGGGGGGGGGTGTCACTAATGCAAAGTCGCTCTTCTTAATGCACCTGAACCGAGCCAGATGTTCATCTGTTTCCCCTTAAGCTCCTCCATTTTGAACTCTCTTCTCACTGAACCAGGTATCAAGTTCAGAGATGATACAACCATCCAAAGGCAAACAGCCTGCCTCCCAGCCTCCTAGAGCCTTCTGAAAACTTCCTATTCATGAAAAGGCATTGTCTTTAGTGTAGTGAAAACTTTAACTAAGTGCTGCAGTTGCAGGTTAAACGACTGTAAATGAACTACGTAATTTCTAAAACATCATGCAAGAAATGTGGCTTCACATCTTACAGTCAAAGTCCTACAAGTTAATTAATACAAGCACACTGAGGTGTAATTGCGGGAGCATACCTTGAAAATTATAACTCCCTCCCACCCCCCCAATCAAAAAAAAAAGGTAATATTAATTAAACTTAAGAAATAATGAATGCACCATTAAAATGCCATCCAAAGATGTTGACCTAAGACAAAGGTTTCAATGATACACAATACGGTCAAAAAGGTTTCAATCAGTAATATACAGTATGACAACTACATCTTGTAAATTATACCCAATACTGCCGGCAGTCTATCCCTCTAAAGAATATTTGCCCCTTTCATCCCTTCCTAACAATCAGATAATAAAATACAGCACCTATAAATAAGCAAAAAAAAATATATATATATACCGAAATCATCTATTGTTAGTTTAAAGATATGGCAATAAAGGAGTCTAAATTAGCAAACTTGTAGAAGCCATAACTGATAAAACAGCTTATTGAAAAAAGGTGGCAGTAATGCACTCTATGTGTGCACAGGTACTTAAGAAAATACACAGACGTATAAAATTGCACACACGCACACACGCACACTCTCACCCACCTCTAGTCTCACGCATATACACATAGACAACGGGAGGAATCAGAGACAAGTTAGACTTCAGGTTTGTACTTAGACTGCCCTACACTGTGCATAAAAGAACTGTTCCAAGAGGCAGGATGAACAAAGGGCCAATGGATGGTCTGGTCTGGAAGGGAAGAGCAACAACGTTTTGGTGGGAGTGTGGGCCATCTCTACAGGGGTGAGGGCAGAGCCGGGACTGCCACGTTCTCTCTTCTGCAGGGAAGGGAGCTTCCCACGACGGTCAACAGTCCTCAGTGCTTGTGGTGGGAAGAGCGGGAGAGAGAGAGTGCGCGTGCACGAGAGCCCTGCCCGGGCCCGGGGGGGGGGGGGGGGGGGGGGGGGCGGTGGCCCCTGGTGGGGCTCAGTCCATCAGGCGCCCGGGAGAGTGCTGGGAGGTGTGCTGCCTTCTGTGCCAAGGAAAGCCTGCGGACCACGCGGGGCGGGACCCCTGCGGCACGCCCCCCCCCCCCCCAACTGCCTGCTGCCACCTCGGCGGCCCACCCTTTCCTCCTTCCTTTACACGCTCGCACGTGTGCAGACGCACTAACGCAGACGTAGACACCATAAATTAAAACAGAATGAACGGGGACGTGCTACAGTTCTAACTTGTCTCCTAACCTCCGAGATATGAGGTCTGATCAGCGTGCTCTGCGGTTAGAGGTTAAAAAGCAGATTATAAAATACCTAGATTCGGATCTTTTTCTTTTTGTCCTGATTTGGCCTAGAATGGAGTGTATTAAACAGACCCTGGCCGGCAAAAGCCCAGAGCCAGTTAAAGCTATGGATCATGTGCACTACATGTCAGGATTCTATTCACGTACAAGAAAACACTACGTCAGCTACCACAAAATCAGATCGTTTCCTGATGTGACTTCTCTTTCTGTTAAAAAATATGTGGAGTAAATGTGTTTTATTTTAATTCAAAGTTTCAAACGAGAAGATTCTTTACTTGAAAATATTTAGGAATCCAAACTAGTGTGTTTAGAGTCGGTTTGACTGTGCAATCTCTTAGTGGCAACTGAACAGCTACAAAAAACTTTTTTTTAATTTTTCTGAAAAATCCCCCCTCCCACCCCCCCTTTTTTTTTCCTGGTTTAAGAAGATAATAGTGTATTATCGCTCTGAAGCCATTAGATGGCAGATAAAAAGCCCCCTTTTAATATGTGGGTTTGATTTTTTTTTTTTAAAGCCCACACGAAAGAGGAGGGCGCAAGGCAAAGCTGTAAGAGTTATTCCAGAACCTGTGGAAATCACTTAGGGCAATAAAAAAAACACTTCAGGGTACAAAAAAGCTCGACTACACATTTCCGTTTTCTTCCTTGAAAACACGACATAGATTGGGCTTAATGCTCCTTTGTTTTCTATATGCACCTTGGCCTATGGCGATTTTGCCCTGTGGCCCGCAGGGCGGTAAGTGCGCAACACGGTCCAGGCCGCGGAGTCGGCGCCCGCCCCTCTGCCCGGCCCAGCCCGGCTCTGCCCAGCTCAGCTCGGCTCGGCTCGGCTCGGCTCGGCCAGACCCGGCTCGGCCCCGCCGGGTCCAGCTCGGCCAGACTCGGCCCGACTCGGCCCGGCCCGGCGTGGCCCGGCCCGACTCTGCTCGGCTCGGCTCGCGGCGGGACGGGCGGGCGGCGCCCTCTCAGAACTCCCATTCGATGGGCTCCTCCCGGCTGGCGGCCTTCTCCAGGCGGTGGATTATGCTGTTCAAGTTCGCGGCCTTCTTCTTCCTCAAGGGGTTGTCTCGAGAGTCCCTGGCGCCTGCCGCCTCCGGGAGGCCGAAGAGGGTCTGCAGCGAGCTGGCCCTGCGGGCGGCCGCCGGCGCGCTGGTGCTTGGCAAAGCGGAACTCCTGTCGGCGCCGTCCCGGGCCCGGCAGGGGCCTTCCGTCGGCGGGGCGGCTGAGGTAGCGGCGTCCTCCCCGGCCGCGGGCGCGGCGGCGGCGGCGGTGGTGGTAGCGGCGGCGGCGGCGGCGGGGTTTGGCACGGGCCCCGGGCCCTCGGCGGGGCCCTCGGGCGGCGGCGGCGGCGGCGGCGGCGGCGGCGGCGCCCGGGGCCGGCCCTCGTCGTCCGCGTCGTCTGGGGCCGGGGCCCCCGAGGGCGGCGGGTGCGCCTTCTCCGCCGGCCTGGGCGCCTCCTCCCGCTCCTCCGGGGCCGCGGCCGCGTCGGCCGGCCCTCCCTGAGACTTGGCGGCGGCCGCGGGGCCGCCCGACTCCTCGGCGTCCGCGGCGCTCGGGCCCTCGGCGGCCTCCACGCCGTCGCAGCTGTCGCCCTCCGAGCTGGGCGCGGCCCGGCTGCTCCGGGCTGACGGGGAGTCGCTGGCCCCGGCCTGGCCCTGGCTCCCGGCCTGAATCTCCTCAATGAACAGTTCTCTGCGGATCCGAGACCTGGGAGACACAAGCAGTGGGAACGCCGTGAGCAGTGCGCGCGCTCGAGATGGCAGGGCGCCCCTGCCCCGGGGCGTCACCCGCTGCCCCAGCCCGAAGCCTCGCCCCCGCTACTTCCCAAACTCAGTGCCTTTGCTCTAGTCGTCAGTTGGGTGCAGTACCACCCCCCCTCCCCCCACTTTCCAGCAGAGTGGAACGGCACCTTCCCTCCGTCTCCCGTCCCACCCCACCTCCCATCACGCTGTGAACGGTGCGGCCCCATTCTTTGCACACCCCAGGCCCCGCATGGTGCTTGGTATCCGGTAAAAAATGAGGACTTGGAACTGACACGTGGAAATGCAGAATGGATGATGGCCACGGCTTCCTCATCGGAACTTCATTAAGAGAGTAGTCTGGGTGGTGGCCCAGAGTGTCATGGGTAAAGGCACAGGCAGGGTTCTACCAGATTATGTTCCAACCATATCCTTCCTTTAAGAGGAGGAGACCAGGGAAGGGTCACTTTTGAACAAGCAGGAAGGAGACCAGATAGGCGCTCCAACATGGCAAGCTTGTTTTAATCACGCTCCCCTATTTTGTTGGGTGTGAAGGAAACAGCTACAGATGGGCCCTGATGGGCCCTGTTTTGGGGTCCTTGGTGACCTCACGGAATGGCTCTTGTTGAGTCCGCTTTTGTGCCTGAGTTTCTCTTTCCCTTGTGCTCACTGTACTAGGCTCGATGAGAAGTCTCTCTCTAAGGTGGTTATTCCAAGGAGCTGAAAAAGCCTCTGATGAATGTGCCAGCGGTTAGTGGAAAAGCACCCTCAGGTCAATGTGCATGGAGCCCACTGTCTTGCAGAAACTGGGCCTGCAGACAGCCCTTGGACTGTATACTTTTCTGCTGTCCACAGACCCCAGTGAAGGTAACCTGTTTTTTTTTTTAATTATTATTAATTTTCTCTTAATGTTTATTTATTTTAGAGACAGAGCACAAGCAGGGGAAGGGCCAAGAAAGCCGGAAACAGAATCTGAAGCAGGCTCCAGGCTCTGAGTTGGCTGTCAGCACAGAGCCCGATGCGGGGCTCAAATCCACAAACTGTGAGATCATGACCTGAGCCAAAGTCTGGGTTAACCGACTGAGCCACCCAGGCGCCCCGAAGGTAACCTGGTTTGAGAGCCCACTATACGCCGGGTGCTGTGTTGGATGTGGGCAGTGTTGAAGCCACGGGAAGCTGGCTGTAGCTCAGCGCAGTGTATCAGAACCCTGGCGGCAGTGATCTGTGGACACTGGGATTTGCTCCCTGAGCTCTGACTCTTGTCCTGAGGGTGGGTGGTTTCTGAGCGAGAGCTTCAGGGTGAGGGCCTAAAGCACGTCCCCCGCCCCGAAGTTCCCAGGGGTAATGGAAGACTTTCCTCCCTCTCTGGGGCTGCCGCGGTCCTGGACGCTGTGCTGTGAGGGCAGGCCTACTCTGCTGCCTTTCAGGCCCCTTGGCAGCCAAGGTGCCGGTTGGGGTGAACACCTGATCCCGTCCCACCCCGGCTGGGGAGGTGGGAGGTCAGACAGGTTTAAGTCCCGGAACACAGCACAGGCTTTGCGGAACCAGGCAAACCTGGGTTTGTAAGCTCGCTAGCCAGGCGAAGTGGCAAAAATTCCTGAACCTCTTGGAGCTTCAGGATTATCTGGAAGTTATGGAGACTGGTCTCTTCCTTGCAGAGATGTTAGGAATAAAATATTAACATATAATAGAGGACACGGAGTAGACCCAGAAAAAAAAGGGCACTATTCTGACCATCCGGCTGCTTTCTGAATGCCAGAGTCCCTGTTGTAGGTGCTGAGGCAGAGGCAGAGGGGCTGGAGGGGGGTGGGGGGAAGGGACAACTTCATGCTTCGGGCCTGGCCTCTTGGCTGCCACCCTTGGCAGCCAGGTGAACACGTGTAACCGTCTGGAAAACGGGGCCGGTAGTGCTGTGCTGCGGATCAGAGGCCCTGATGAGATGGCACACCAATAGAGCTCCGGGCTCCGTGCCTGGCACGCATGCCATGGTCCGGCGGCAGGAGACCTCATCCTTCCTAATCTATAGCTGTCTCCACGTCCACGACGGGTTTCCTCTCCTGAGCTAGAAAGACCAGGTCCCAGGAACAGAGCCACGGAAGGCAAGGTTCGCAGGGCACCATGGCATTTAGGGCTCAGGAGACCTCCTACTGGGTGGGCCTGTCCCTGGGGGATACTGTTCTGGCATTCCTGGCCCCGTTCCTGGGTAATGGTCACTCTTAAGATACTTCTGATTCCTTGAGGGTGAAATGGTAAGAGGAAGCAAAGTTTTATTTTTTTGATGGGGGTAAAAATTGATCTCTACCCCCCCGCCCCCGTTATTCCCGTGGGTTCCCGTGGGCAGGAAAAGAACAAATCAACTTCTCCTGTTTAAGTCCTGCAGAATGTAAGAGACGATCTCTTTCCTTAGGAATTCAGCGTGTGGGTCACAGGCCTGGCTGGCTCAGTCGGTCTTGGTTTCTGCACAGGTCATGATCTTATGGTTTGTGGGTTCGAGTCCTGTGTTGGGCTCTGCGCTGATAGTGTGGAGCCTGCTTGGGATTCTCTCTCTGACCCTCCTCTGCTGCTCTCGATCTCTCTCTTTTTAAAAAAAATTTTAAAAAAAATTTTAAAAAAAATATTTTTTTAAATGTTTTATTCATTTCTAGGAGAGAGAGAGAGACAGTATGAGCAGGGGAGGGTCAGAGAGAGAGGGAGACACAGAATCTGAAACAGTCTCCAGGCTCTGAACTGGCAGTCAGCACAGAGCCTGATGCGGGGCTTGAACCCATGAATCGTGAGATCATGACCTAAGTGAAAGTTGGATGCTTAACTGACTAAGCCAGCCTGGCGCCCCTAAAAAAATTTTTTTAATGTTTTATTTATTTCTAAGAGAGAAAGAGAGAGAGAGAGAGAGCGAGCAGGGGAGGGTCGGAGAGAGAGGGAGATACAGACTCTGAAACAGGCTCCAGACTCTGAGCTAGCTGTCAGCACAGAGCCTGATGCGGGGCCCAAACCCACAAACTGTGAGATCATGACCTGAACCGAAGTTGGATGCTTAACTGACTGAGCCACCCAGGCGCCCCTCGATCTCTCTTAAAATAAGTAAACACTTAAAAGAAACGGAACTCCGTGCATGTGGGTTAAGCCCTGCTGTGTGCTAGTGCTTATAAGAAGCACCGTGGGGTCTATGGGGCCGGTCTCTACTCGAAGCATTTACTTGGAAGAGCTACAAGCCATGGAAGGAGCATATACTCTGTCGGAATTTCTGCTCGGCACCTTGCGCCGCCCCCCCCTGCCGGTGACTGAGTGACCTCAGTTCTTGAGGCTTTATACCACTTCTGAGCGACCTAGTGCTCCCTTCTCATCTATTATGTGGCTTATAAAATTCTTCTCAGTTCTTTTTTCAAGACCCTGCACGTCTCCTACCTCTTGCAGGAGATCTTTCCAGATCTCGGCAGCTGAAGTGAATCTCTGCCCTTGGTTCTTCCATTTGCCTTAGCCTGGCCAGCTTTGTTATGGTTATTTTTGCAAGAAAACGTTTACTGGGCATCTATTTTCCATCTGCATCTGAGCTCATTTCCTAAGTTTTGAGGTTCTTCTGCTCCTCCTCCTCTCTCCCCCTTCTGTGTGTGGTTGACTCTGCTCACATTAAATGCACACGTGGGGCATCTCCACAGTGAGCCTCTGACCACCGGTACTGTGACGGGCATTATCACAGTTGTTGGGAACACAAGTGACAGAAGCTAAGAAAGGGGGCAAGAGCATGCCCTGGCCAGGAGGCAGTGACTGCCGTTCAACTGAGGCCTGCAGGGGAGGATCTGGGGAACGAGGGGACCCCAGCAGGGCCAGGGGAAATGGTTTTGGAGCAGTTTTATGTAACAGGTGGCAGCGTGACCCAGATAAGTCTGGAATCTCCAGAGTTCCCATGCCTGCGCTAAAGTGGACGTAGCTGGGGGCGCCTGGGGGGCTCAGTTGGTTAAGCACCTGGCTTTGGCTCAGGTCATGATCTCAAGGTTTATGAGTTCAAACCCCTCAGAGCCTGGAGCCTGCTTTGGATTCTGTGTGTCTCTCTCTCTGCCCCTCCCCCACTCATGCTCACGCACTACATCTGCAAGATGTAGCTTGCAGAAGACTCGAAAGAACGTATTCAAACGCACCTCTGTGTCTAGAAAGTAAACACGGGATTGTGTAACAGGTGGCGAGGGAGAGGCTCCCGTGAACGTCCGCCCAGGTTGCCATTCATTCTCCTTCATGTCACTTGTTTACTGCTCTCAAAGCTTCCTTCTCAAGCTCCACTACTGCAGCTGCTAGCCTCGCTCTGCCCCTGGTCTTTAGCTCATCTGTACATTTAGGATGAATAAGCTGGCTGTGCTCAGTTCCTGTACTGTCTCTGTCCCGGCGGGAGCCAGCCCACGCGGGGGAGGTTGGCTGTGGACAGTGCTGCCATCGTGGCTCCCCCGGCCTGGTTCCAGGGGTCAGGTGGCAGGTCTGTCTGGCTCTCACACTAAGCTACAAATGCTAACTTAGCTTTCACCGGCAAGAAAGGTATTGTTTTTGGGTCCTGTCTAATATCTTCAAACTCCCTGTTTTGTTAGCACCTGGGGGTGGGGGTGGGTTTTCAGGGCGATTTGGGAAACAGCAGCAGAACCTAACAGAGAAGGGAAGGCCTGGTCCAAGACACCAGTCCCTGTGGTCCCTGGCTGCCTGGGGTACTCTGTTGCCGGACACCTGTCCCCGGTGGGTAACCATGAGGGCTCCATCCACACTGGCCATGCGCATGTGCTTGTCCCCTGGGCAGAACCAGAGCCCCTGCCCCAGTTTTGTTGGGCCCTAGAGAGAATGATGTTCCGACAAGAGCCAGCAGTTGAGATGGTCACTTCCAGGGCGTTAAACAAGCAGGAATTTCCGTCAGGCCACTGGGAAGTCCCGGTTTCTAGCACCAGGAAGTCTTGGTTACAGCTACGATAGACCGTTCATCACATGTTGGTGTCATGATCTAATCCTTTTTTTTTTTTTTTTAACCCCAATTGGCTTCGTTCTAGAGAGAGCACTAGGCCCTACCCTCACATGCCTGGGTCAGGTGTTTAGCCTGCATGAGTTTTACGTCTTCCATCTGTAAAATGCAGGTTAAGGGGAACCTGAGTGGCTCATTTGGTTAAGTGTCCAACTCTTGATTTTGGCTCAGGTCTTGATCCCATGGTTTGTGAGATGGAGCCCCGCTTCTGGCTCTGCATGACCACGTGGTTTCTGCTTGGGATTCTCCTCTCTGTCTCTGCCTCTCCCCTCCTCCCATGCCTGCTCTCTCTCTCAAAATAAACACTTGGCTCAATGTCTGGGGATCTGGTAGGTGCTCAATAAATCTCATTAACGTGACTGAATGTAGTTCACTACAAAACGAATCAGGAGGACAATGCTCTAAGAGACCCTCTGGGTCTTCGCTAAGAAACGTTTTCTGCGAGCCGTAGCCGCCTACGATCTCCCTAAGTGATCTCGTTTTCCGGGCACCGCAGACTCGGGGTGTCGCCGACGATGTGACCCTACATCTTGGGAGTTAAAAATTCCAATGAAACCTAAAAGGCCAAACTGACCGACCAAACACCAAGCCTTCAGTCCCCAGCATGCCAGGGCCAAGTCCCTAGAGTGTCAGCCCGGTGCACCAATACCGGCCCTTCCCTGCGGGACAGGGTGGCCGCCGCCCCGCCCCCTGGGAGCCTGGATGTACGGGGCCGAGGGCCAGACGAGCCGGGGCCTCACCTGTAGTTGTGGAACCAGTTGATGACGGTGCTGGTTTTCAAGTTGAGCTGGGTGGCGAGTTCTTCGATGGTTTTTGGTGACGGGTATGGCTTTTGCTGATACGCTCGTTTCAGAGCTTCTTTCTCTTCCGGAGCCAGCACCACGCGGGGCTTCTTCAGCTGGTGCTGGGGCTGGGGGCTGGCGCCCTGGCTGTAGTCGATGCCAACAGAGGGGGGCTCGCAGGGCTGGCTGTCGCTGACTGAGCTGTGCCGCCGCTTCATGTAGGCTGAGGGAGGGAGAGAAAGCAGAGCGAGGTGAGGCCCAGCTGGGGGATGAGCCGCGGCCCCTGCCGTCCCCAAGAGCGCCAAGGTGCGCTGTCTGCTCACACTGTCGGGCGCATTGCGGCGGCCGGCCCTTCTGCCCTGCTCTTCTGAGAGCATCTGGGAATGCTTGGGCCAGAACCGTTGGGAAACCCAGGGCACGGTCATCAGGAGCCTGCTCTGTGGTAATGCAAGGTGGCCGGCGGGCAGGCCCTGCCTGATGATTTGGTGGGGGGCACAGCCAGGGAGACACCAAGGGAGGGAGGGAGGTACTCAGCTCAGCCCGGGGAGGGGTCAAGGGAGGGTTCCCAGGAGAGATGGTGTTTAAGCTAGATCTTGAAGGCCAAGAATAATTAACCAGAAAAAGAGATGACGAGGTAGGAGGTGGTAGGAGGCTATTCCGGAAAGTGGGACCAGCATGTGTAAAAAAGACACAGGAGCATGAGATGGCACAGTTCCAGAGTGTATGTGTGTCCCTGCACGCGTGCACGTGGGGTGTGGAGGGGGAGGGAGGAGCGGGAGAGACGGGCAGTGCCGGGGTAGCCTGAAAATATGGACTTTACCTTAGAGGCATAGGGAAGAAATGAAAAGATTGGAGACAAGGGAATGGTACGGTCAGCTGCACGCATTCTGGAAGGGCTGCTGTGGCTGCAGTTTGCAGGATGGAGAGGGTGGAGGGGCTGGCAGGAGGGTGCTCAGTTAGCGGGTGAGAATGAGAAAGGTGTGAGCTGGGGCAGTGGTGGTGGGATTGGAGAAAAGTCCAGAGAGTGGGGAGATGGTAACGGCCAGGGCTGGAAGGACGGGGGGACTGACGCAGGAGGGGCTGAGGGGAGGAGAGCAGAGGAGCCCCCTGGTCTCAGGCTGGGAGAGGACGAGGGTGCTGGTGTCTCTGGGTTGGGCGCCACGGAAGAAGGGAGAAGGTGGTGGCTTGTCTTGGAACTGTGGAGCCGGAGGGGTCTCTGGGCTGCCCACACAGGAGACGTCCAGGAGGCAGCAAGAGGGGTAGGTAAGAAGCCCCAGAGAATGGTCTGGGCCAGAGAGAGGAACTTTGGACCACTGGAACACAGACTGTGGTTGTGGTCCATGCCATCGATGAGAACGGAACCCTGGGACACCCATAGGCAGAGGGTGGCCCCCACGAAGCAGCAGCCACGAGGGACCCGGAGATGGGAGGAAAACCAGGAGACGATGGTGGGAGAGAAAGGATGGGAGAGGGGAGACGGTCACCAGTGTTGGTGCTGCGGCGAGTTGGCCAAGGACCCGGGAGGCCCTCTAGCCTTAGGAGAGAACCGGGCACTGGGGCGAACAGGCACAGGGGCCGTGAGAGCAGAAGCCGCCAGGTGGCTGTAGGCTGAGTACTGAGCGGGAGGTGAGGAGGTGAAGGCAGCGAGCACAAGTTGCTATTTTAAGACGCCTGAATGGAAAAGAACAGCGAGAGACAGGATGGCTTCTAGAAGGGAAATCCAGGGCTGAGGGTGGATGTGAAGAGGAGAGTGAGCTGATAGTGTTTCCAGGCTGAGAGGCGAGAGCTGGCGGTACAGGTGAGCGAGATGATCGCTGCAGGTGCACCAGGATGGCGCCCGGACACGGGAGGCAGGATGGGCGGGGAGGGCTGGAGGGGCAGACGAGCTTGCAGGGGCTGTGGCAGGGAAGGCTGGTGGCCGGCGTTTTCCTGCTGAAGTAGGAAGGCAGGAGTGATGACCTGAAGTGATGGGAAAGGAGTCCTGGAGAGGTAGAGGAGAGTGGTGGAGAAGACCGGCAGAGCATGGACCCCCAGGTTGGGACCTGCGGGGCGATGGGGAATGGGAAGGTGGGAGAGAGACGGCTGTGTCTTGGACGATGGTGGGGGCGCACTGGGGTGATGGGGCGTGGAGTCTGGGATGCTGGCAGGAGGAGGTAAGGGCGCCAGACGGCAAAGTGATGGGGAGAAGGGTGGGAGCGGGGATCGGCGGGTCTGGAGGCAGAATGAGCCACGGAAACATGAGAGACATGGAAAGACAGAAGGACAGCAGAACGTGGTCAGTGAGTGGGGTGCCTGAATTTAGTCTTTGAGAGGTAGAGTAGTCGTGGGTGACAGCAAGACTTAGGGAAAAGCCCAGGGTTGAGGAGATCAAGGAACTTGAGGCCTGGCCCTGGATGGGGTCTGAGGGGTCTTAAACCTCCCCCCGCACCCATGAGGTGGGCCATGGGTACGGAGGAAGGCAGCAGTCCAGGGGCCTCGGTCTTGAGAAAAAGTCCAGGAGTGCAGGGCAGGTGTCTGGAGGGGGCTCAGCGCTTTGGGGAACATGGACCTGCCTTGGGAGACTTGTCCTTGCTCTTGAGGCCAAGGAGAGTCCTTGTGCCCTCGATATGGCTTTTACTGTGGAAGGACTGGGGTGGGGGGGGGGAGGGAAGGGAGGGAGAGCAGTGGGCAGCAGAGAAGTAAAGGGACACGTCTCCAGATTCAAGTGCTTTGTTCCCTCTGTGCTGTTGGGGCTTCACGTGCCCCATCTGTCCTTGCGTGTCACCCATCCCGAACTATGCTTCAAGTTAAAAACCATTGGGACTTGAGCCAACGAGTCATCCGTAGTGATCTTTCTAGTGGATTAGCTTGGAATATGGTCTGCAAATTCTTGAAAACTTCTTAAAACTGATGGAAGATGGGAGGCAATAGTATTTAATAGGAGGAGTGGAACGGCCAGCATCTGGGGTGTGATCCTCCCATGTGTGCGGAGGGACAGGCACCATCGCTGCCCTGTGTACAGGGGAAGAAACTGAGGCCTAGAGAAGTGAAATGATGGGCCTCAGGTCCCACGGCTGGGAAGTGACACAACTGAGGTCTGGCCCACGTCCCCTCTGGGCAGTGCTGCCTGCCTTGACCTGCCTGATGGTGGCCAGCGCCCCGGCCCTGCAGCAGGGGAACACACCCTGCGGCAGTAGTGGCTGTCAGGTTTCAGAAAAGTGTCATAGGAGAGGACTACGAATTGTCAGGGTCCACCTGTAGCCACCAGGGAGAGGCGCCCGCAAGCTAGCCCAGGCTTTGTGGGCGCGCGTCCGGGGGCTGGTGGCTGTGCGGACAGGCTGGTTCAAGGGCCTTCTCGTGAGGGGACGGAAAGCAGAAGGCAGATGAGGGTGGAGACCAGCTGTTTACGAAGAAGGAAGGAGAGCAATAAAAGATTCAAGCTAACGGGAGAAGCTGCAAAAACTTTCTGGAAGACAAAGGAAGCACGATGCATGTGTGAACCCTGTGGTCTGGATTACCCGGTGCCCGTTCACTTTTTCATCTAGTCCAGCCTAGAAACATGACGGACTTTCATCTGCTTTAAAGGAACCCAACTCATCTGAGAAACTGTGACACACTTATATGTGAGCTGGTGGTGGTATTCGGTATGTTCTTTCTAATGCTCACAAACCTGAAGGAGTTCATGCTACCATCCCCGTTCTACAGGTGCAGAAACCGAGGCTAGGGAGTTCCTTAACTAACTTGCCATTTTATGACTAGACCTAGGACACAGCTGAGAAGGCAAATCTTCCCCCAAAGAAAATGAATATCATACGGTCAGTGGCCAGAAACAAATGAGCCTGGTCTGCCGGCCGCTCCCACTGGGCGGACCACCAGTAATTGGCAGATATCAGGGAGGTGCTGTGCTCTGGGTCACCCACTGTTGTGTCCAGTGAAGGCTCCTCTCGTGAGCATCCTTACTACAGGGAGAAGACAGTGGGGCCACAGCCGCTTTCAGGTGCCTTGGGATGTGAGGGGCCTGGGCCTGGTTCAAACAGTAACTCCTTTGTAACACAAGATGGCGCCCAGAGCCTATGCGGAAAGAGTGGAGGCCTGTGAAGTCCCCCAGAGATCTACCTTTGGGGGCAAGGGTCCTTTTCTAGTGGCCTAGGAGAAGCACACCAGGGGCAGTGGAGCCAGGGCTGTCCGCCTCCAGATGCCTGCAGCGATGGGAGGCTGTATAGGAGGTGGTCTCGGAGGGCAGTCCACAGGAGGGGGCTCCCTGGCACAGAGCACATTAGCCTCACGGAGCTGGAGGCAGCAGGCCCCGCCTCCTGACAGACCAGAGAGCTCTAAAATTGCTGGGGTGAGCACTGATAAGTGTGGAAACTCGGTGATGGATATATGGGGTTCACAACACCATTCTACTTTTCTGTTTGAAATTTCCCAAGGGGGAAGAGTTAAAAAAAAACTTCTGGCGTTGACGTGCCACCAGGCGTCCAGAGCCGCCCAGAGGGCCGTGGCCAAGGTCAGAGCTGCTGGCAGGGCTCTGGGTGGGGCGGGAGGCCGCTGCCTGGGCACGTGGCCCCTGTGTGGCAGGTTCTGGATGCAAGGCCGCACAGCACGCATCTGAAAGTGCCAGCTTCAGAGCCACACGGTCCGGGAGTCTGGATGCCTGCTTCCTGCTTGGGCCAGCTGTCAAAATCAGGCAACTCTCGGACCACTAGGGCCTCACCCCTCCTGGATAACATGCCTACACTGGGCAGAGCTTCGTGGCCTGAGTCAAGTCTGAGCGCAGCGGTGAATAGGAGGCCCTCAGGAACTGAAGTCTCCGTCGTTCGACAAGGGCCCGACCCCACAGAGCTCCAGAGGAGACGTCAGAGGCGCCTGCCCCCTCCGGGAGCCCCAGCCCCTGCCCTGGCTGGGTGACAACAGTGCCCCAAGGCCAGCAGTGGATACCAGACTCTCTTGGTGAACTCAAGACGCGAGCCTGGGCTCCATGCCCGGCCCCTGGCTCAGACACGCACTCCTCAGCCATACGGGTGGGTGGGGCCTCATCCCCGCATCGAAGAGACTAGGATTCAGCCACTCTGTGAGCTCACAGTACTGTGCCTCTGTGGGCAGGGCTCACTAATGAAGAGCAGCAGGTGGGCATACAAAGCAGGAGACAGAGCAGACATTACTTGCCACCACCAAGGTGCCCCCACTTTGGGATTTCTCCCGTGTCGTGGCCTCCAGGGTACGGGAAGGATGCTGGTCAGCATTCAAGAGGGCTCTAGATGCACAGGGAAAGAAGAGCCGCGCTTGGCCCTCAAGGAGGTTGACTCCCATACAGCCCCACAGCTCGTAAAGTAACAGCAAGAGGGATCTGTTCTGGCAGGAATTTGCTCTTCTGGTGATCAGGCTGGGTGACCATTATTAATGGAGATACCTAGCTTCTCTGAACCTGGCTTCCCTTATCCACAGATGTGTTTATCAGTGAGCTTTCCAATAAGACAGGAGACAGAAGGCCCTGGCATGTGGTCCACGTGAGAGAGATGGACTGCCCCAGGCTGCCACCAAGACAAAGACAATAAACAAATGGGTCACCGCCGAGTGCTATGATGCTCGCTTCTTGGCCTGAAAGACGGAAAGGGGTACACTGACTGCCAGGGCAGCCATGAGGAACTGTCAGAGTGCCCCCCTTAACACTAAGATGTATTTGCATTCAGTCTGCTGGGTAGAAAAAGCCACAAACCTTCCCAGTCCTCCTAGATACTCATCAGTTGATAATTGTCAAGAAAAGACCCAGCCGCCCTGTCTTGAAGTCTTTTGGCCACAGATCAGTGCCCTTCACCAGCCCTGGGCGAAGGCTTTAGAAGCAATGGTGCGTTCGTATGCGAGAAAGCAGCCAGCCGGAGCAGGTGCTGGGGCCTACCTTTCTTTTCCATCCGTTTCATGTCCATCAGCTTCTCCACATTGTTGGGGTCATTCAGCCACAGCTGCATCCGGACGAAGGGCTCCCGGCCCTTCAGACTGAGCTTGTGCCAGGGCTTTGGGCGAGCAAGGAGGTCGGAGACGGAGCCTTGGGTGAGCCCCAAGATGGTCTCCCCAAATAAGCGCTGACCTGGTCAGAAAACAGAACAAAGAGAGACGTCACTACAGAGGCCCAGGGATCTGGAAGGACAAGGTTAAAATCAGACATGGGGTTTAAAGACCCAGAGTCTGGTCAGCCGGGTCCTGCCTCAGAGCAGGTGGTTTTTAGAAGCAGCTCTTTAACCAGACTTGTGAGAAACTCTATTGGTGACGGACTCAGTGTTACTCCCGCGTGCTGTGGGCACACAACAACGTCTCTCAGTACATGAGGCTTTGGATGTACTGAGGCCCGGATAACACCGACAGCGCTTATCAGAGGTGGTTAATCCCTCACCCAAGCTCAGGAGGTTAAGTAGCACACGGGGAGCCCTCTCTTCTACAACCTCAAACCACAGGGCTGTCTGGCTCCTTTCACGATTAGCAAGGTTATCCGGTCTTGCTGAGAAAACAGGCCACTTGACCCAAGGTCACAGCAGGAAAGAGAAGGAGAAAGAGCTCCTTAGCTCTGTGTTTCTGAAAAGCAGACCATTTCTAATTCTAAAGTCTATTCCCGCAGTCTGAGCTGCCTCTGCTGACTGGAACTCAAAGGCGATCAAAACCCCTTGCTCGAAGCCTTTTCTCCGGGGCTGTGGTGGGCAGCCCGCTCCTCCAGGCTGATCAGAGGGAATTCTGCTCTGGAGAGCACAGTGGCACCGGGTCTGGATGTTTGTCAGAGGCTTAAAGGGAAAATGTTTCTTCTCTGAGAGCCGCGCAGCTGCAGGTGAAGAGGGGCTGGCACCTTTGAAGGTGCAAACGAGAATGAGGCACGACCCGAATGACCAGACGGGTTCAGGATGCGAGTAGTAGGACTCATCAGGTGGAAATGGAGACTGGGATTAGACAGGCCAGCTCTGGGTGTCACATAGCATGGGGAATGCGACACCTGGGTCCCCGAGCAGCTAGGCCCCTCCGTGGCAGGGTGGCTGTGGATGTCAGGCTCCTATCCTCCCGTCTTCGAGGGGGAAACACCACCATCTATGGTCATAGGACAGGTGTGAGCAATGGCGGAACACCTCCTTGTAAAAAGTGGGGCTTCAGGGGTGCCTGGGTGGCTCAGTGGGTTAGGCGTCTGACTGCAGCTCAGATCATGATCTCATGGTTTAGGAGTTGCAGTCCCAGGGGCGCCTGGGTGGCTCGATCGGTTGAGCATCCGACTTCTGCTCAGGTCACGATCTCAGTGTTTGTGAGTTCAAGCCCCGTGTCGGGCTCTGTGTTGACAGCTCAGAGCCTGGAGCCTGCTTCGGATTCTGTGTCTTCCTCTCTCCCTGCCTCTCCTCTGCTCATGCTCTCTCTCAAAAATAAACATTAAAAAATTAAAAAAAAAAAAAAAGAAAAAAGAAAAAAAGGAGTTCCAGCCCCGCATCAGGCTCTGTGCTGTCAGCGCAGAGCTGGCTTCAGATCCTCTGTTTCCCTCTGTCTCTGCCCCTCCCCTGCTTGCGCATGTGCACGCTCTCTCTCAAAAATAAACATTAAAAATAAAAAACAAACAAAACAGGACTTCAAGTGGAAGTTTACTGCATGTAAAGCTCTGGATTTGAGAAATTATTATTTTTTGTTTCTGTCATTTTTATATAGGGATACACTTACCAATTTCGTAAACCTGTGGTTCCCTGAATTTTAAACTCGTAGGGCCTACAGGCATCCTAAGCCCTTACCAGATTTTTGTTGTGGTTATTTTAAATAAATTCTATCTAACTCTCAACTGGCAAATGAATCTCATTTACATTCCAAGGAGCTTGGGATGGTCAGAAAAGTGATATACGTATCTATGGCTAGTTATTACTTGCTTGACCCACCTAGTCGTATAGTGGTGGAGGTTGGCGGGGGGTGGGGGGGGGTGTGGGGGGGATTATTCTTGGAAATCTGTATTACTTCTAGAGGTTTCGCAGTGGTGGTTCTCAGGGGGGGGGGGGGGGGGTGTGGGGGGGATTATTCTTGGAAATCTGTATTACTTCTAGAGGTTTCGCAGTGGTGGTTCTCAGTCAGTTTTGGGTCACAGACTCACTTGAGAACCTGTAGGAAACTACCTACCCTCACCTGATAAAAGGTGTGCGTGCACGCCCTCTGCTTATGATTTCAAGAGACGGACCCATGGACGTCTCCAGATCTTAAGGCAGAGGTTAAAAGGATGCCTGGATGTGACAGCTGCATAATTCAGATGTAATTTGGCCCCCTCGGTGCCCTCTAAGAGACCCCCCAGCAGGGGAGACAGGTTCTTCCCTGGGGAAGCTGGGACCAGCCAGAGCAGCCACTGTGCCAGCTTCTCAGCCCCACAGAAGCTCTCCTGGAAGTTCCTGCTCCAAGAGGAGGGAGTGTGTGAGAAGTTTCACCCCTGATATCACTGACCTATGCATCATAGAACATTGGTGGCCCATGCCCGACACCAGTTAAAACTCCAGCAGCATGGGGACATGGATGGGAAGACCAAGGGGAGATTTTAATGTTTGTAATCTCAACGACTGTGATCTTGCAACTTATCAGCAGTCCAGCAGGAGAGCCGCCTTCAGCGGAGCAAGCGGAGAGAGCTTGCTCATGTTTACAGAAAACGACACTTCCTGTAAAGGGATGGGCAGCAATAATACATCGGGCCTGCTTCTCTGGACTCATGACAGGACTGTAAGGTTAGGGACTGACCCATGTCTAGGAATCCCTGCATATTTCAATCATTGATGAACATGTGGGATTCCATGGCCGTTTTATTTCTGTGAGTTAACTTCATTAAAAACGTGTTCAGCTGACATGACTTCTTCTCTTGTTCTGTTTTGCATAAGCAGGGGCGGGAGGGTAGAGAACCTCAACCAGGCAAGCTGGCCACCTAACCCCCAGGCTGTGAAGTCACCACACACATGTCCCCGGACTTCACTGCTCCTTCCTTCTTTTCCTATCCCCTGGGAAAAACAGACACATAGGGCCTCGCTGCGAATTCCAGCCACTCTCTGGAGCTGTCTTAATATGTACTGCACGGGGGGCGCCTGGGTGGCTTAGTCGGTTAAGCGTCCGACTTTCGCTTAGGTCATGATCTCGCGGTTCGTGGGTTCGAGCCCCGCGTCGGGCTCTGTGCTGACTGCCGGCTCAGAGCCTGGAGCCTGTTTCAGTCTGTGACTCCCTCTCTCTCTGACCCTTCCCTGTTCACGCTGTCTCTCTCTCTGTCTCCTAGAAATGAATAAAAAATAAAAAAAAAAAAAAAAAAAAGTTTGTAAAAAATATGTACTGCACGGAACACTGCTCCTTCTGGTGACCTTTACACCCGGGAAGTAAGGACAGTGTTTGGGGAGTGGCTGTTTCCATTCTCTGGGCACCTGAAGCAGGAGAATCCCATCTGGTCAATGCAGCACCACGGGAGCACAGACGTTTAAAATGAGCGAACGCTCTTAGTATTCGGACAGACTCGGCTACTGACCATGGGCCCTGGAGACTTCGGAGAGAGCTGCCTCGGGTGGGGTGGTAAACTCACTTCTATGGGGGCTACTGCCTCCCAGTGGAGGGCCTGGGGAAGGGAGCGGGTTCCTCGAGCAGCAGAGAGGACAGGAAGAGAGCATTAGCTACCAGGCGCGGTGCAGAGCGATGGCTTCCGCTCACAAGCCCACGTTGGGCACTGCTGTCCCAGACTGACAGGGGAGGCTCCGAGAGCAGCTTGCTTAGGATCACAGACACCGTAAGGGCAAGAGCTGGGATGTGAACCCTGTCTGCAGATTCTTCCAGGCTTCCTGCCCGGCTCGGGCACCCATGAGGACTAGGGAGTTGCACCGAGCATGCCCTAGTCAGGGCGGTCTCAGTGGCTGGCCTGAGTCTGCCCCAGCTGCATGGGTGTTGGCTGAGAGGTCCCAGTGGGTGCGCTGGGGCAGGAGCAGGCTGGGACGGATCGCTCTCAGGAGCCCTGGTGTTCACAACCGGAGGGTATTTTATGTCCTTAGAGATGGCTTACAAACATTTAAACCCACTGGCTGGCGCATCCTGGGTGCCCTCCACCCATTCTTCCAGAAACCACCAGGGAAGCCACCCACCACCCCCAACACGGCAGCCGGGGAGGGCACCAACCGAGGTTGTTGTCCGTCAGCACCTCCTTGACTCGCTTGGTTATGCCGTAGGTGTCCAGCTCGGGAGACATGGCTACCAGCTCCTGAATGCTGAGGGCCGAGTGTCCGGAGAGGGGCAGTGGTGTGGCGGGCTGGGAGTCTGAGGCGGGTGGGTCGCTGGGCTCTGGTGGCTTGCCGTCCTTATTCGTCTCAATGGGGGGACAGGGCTGCTGGACCAGTTCAGTCAAGCTCTTCACTGATTCGCTGGAGCTCATTGGCGACTCGGGCGCAGGGCTGCAGCTAGCAGAGGTCTTTGGAGTGCTTTCTGTAATGAGAGGGCATGAAAATCTGAGGCTGAAAATAGCTGTCTTTCACCACAAGCATCTACTTTCCTTACCCAAGAAATACACGTTAAACGCCTGTGCAAGACGACAGTACGGCGGCCAGCTACTGCGTCTATGGCTGAGAGAAACTCCCGATCTTCTGTATTAAAAAATGGAAAAACAAACAAACAAACAAAAAACCCAACCAGCAACAGAAGAAAAACCAGGGGTTTGAACAAAAGGGCCCTGAAGACTTAAGACAAGGCCATTCTGTTGAGAAACTGCTGTCGTATGAACCATGGGCCGTCACAGCCATGACTTCTTCCAATGGGACTCCGTGATTCCAGAATTCATAAGTGCCTCGGTTAAATTATAATCTGCATCTTATATTCTGTCCCTAATTTTCAGAACACAGTTGAGTCTGTGGATTATTTTAAACGAGGGCGGCCCACGATGTGTGGTTCTGAAGACCCCGGAAGAGGAGACCTAAGGCCTGGGCTGCTGGCCCCTGGGGGGCCCTGTGCAGAGTCCTGGGACTCCTTGTGCATTCCTGCCATGACTCCAGGGGGGGCTCCACAGCATCCCGCCTGGAGGGGACTGACAGGAGATAAGCTCCCTGCCAAACCCCAGGACGGGCTTCTGAAGGCCAAGCTCTATGTCACACACGCTGGCACCAGGAGAGATGGGGCCAGAGTGGCAGTCAGGTCTCCATGCTCTCCCACCTGTCCTGGTGCTGATGCCCAGTAGGGAGTGCCACTCCATGCCACCCGCGAAGCCCAGCATCCATTTGAGTCCTGGGATGTCTGAAATAAAGGCTTTGGCCACTTCCTAATTACCAAATCCACAGAAAGACTGTGTCCAGGAGTAAAATGCAGAGTGAAACAGTGCTAAGGTCCTATTCCCGAGGTAAAATCAGTCGATTTTACCCCAGGCTTGGGGTCCTGGGACAGTGTCCCTCCTGCCACCTCCGATCAAGCGCGGCACACAGTAAGAGCCCACGGCGCCACGTGTGAGGGGCCAGGTACTGTCACGTGGGCTCTATGGCCTCAGGGAGATGAGAAGTCTCAGAAAGGGCCCCATACAGGACATCAGAACACATGGGTGGGGGGGGGGCGGGGGCCCAAAATACTCTCTACCCAAGTAGACAAAATGTAACATGGAGTACTGATTGAATTTCACTTGGCCACAGAAGTGGGGTGTCCTTTGCTGGATGGGTCATATCCAAGATGGCAACCTGGGTCACATGCAGGATAGCGACCTATTCTGAACGCAACGAGATGGGAAATGTATTCCAAATACAAGGGGTGTTTTGTATAAATACCCAGGAAGATAAAAGCCCAAATAAAACAACTTCAATTCAACCAATACATCCATTTATTGTCCTAAACAGGACCAGAATTCCACCATCACACAAACCTGTGTCCTCAACCTCGAAATTCTGGTTTAAAAAAAACAAAACAACCAACCTACTGGTTTGTAAAAGATGTAAAAGAGGTAGACATAAACAGCAGAAATGATCCGTATAAATCTTTAAGGCAATACGAATTCTACAAATCGGATTTCTTCTCTCTGCTCACCTCCAGGTCATCGTACAACTGGATATAAAACCAGCAAATGTTATTTTTGTATCTGAGGCAGCAAAGAAATTGTACTGTAAATTTGCCCCGCTTCACCCATGCGAGGGACCGATTTGGCAGACCATCTATCTTGCTCACTGCAGACTGTCAAGGATGGCATGAATCCCCACATGATAAACAGATTCCTTCTCAGGTTTGTGTCCTGTAACCCACAGCAAGGTCAAAAGCATGGCTGCCTGGCTAACAAATCGCATGTGGCCACCGCCTGGTGCTTCCCCGGTTTTGTTTGGCACCGGCCGAGACAGGGCTCCCGAATCACCGGACGGCGGTACGTTCCTTTCTCGCAGGCATTCCTGGCAAGTACTCGTGGTGATGTTTGCCATGCAGATGCCGAGACGACCGAACAGAGGCACCGGCCGCACGTGACTGGCGTCCCTCTGTGCTCCTGAGCATGACCGCAGACAAAGGCAAAGCCCTCAAGATCAAACCCCCCGCTGGGCCTTGACATGTACCAGGCAGGTGCTGCTGGGCTGGCGTGCATTAGAGCTCCACTCTGCAACAGACAACTTGAGGCGGAGTGCTCCTTCTAGGGGACGGCAATTCACGCACGGACACATGAGCGCACGCACACCGCTGTGCTCTTGGGTCACGCAAAGCAGAATCAGGCCCACGTGTTTGGATAGACACGGGCAAGTGCAGCAGCAAATGGCCCCACAGGAGATGCCACAAATCCTCACGCTGAGAGCATCACGTTGGAGAGGGCGTCATTTCTTTAAGAAAGCTGTTTCCCGCAAGCCCCAGAGCTGCAGCAGCTGGACTGGAACCACAGCAGCTAATTAACCCAATACAAGCCCACTTTGGTGGAAGCACCACAGAGACAGGCTCTAGAGCGCCTAGCAAGGTGGCCGGCCCCTCGGTGCAGGAAGGACAGGTCTGTCCTTGGCCATCTTGACAGAAATAGAAACGCGGTCAACAGAAAAGATAGTACTTTGTTTCCCTCCAAAATCACCAAATGGAGGCCTCTGACTAAAACAATACTTTTTTTTTTTTTTTTTTTTTTTTTTTGAGGGAGAGAGAGAGAGAATGGGAGGGGCAAAGAGAGAGGGAGACACAGAATCTGAAGCAGCTCCAGGCTCTGGGCTGTCAGCACAGGCCTGAATCAGGGCTCAAACCCACAAACCACGAGATCATGACCTGAGCTGAAGTCAATGCTTAACTGACTGCGCCGCCCAGGTGCCCCTCAAGCAATGCTTTTTTGAAGGATGAAGGCTTTCTTCCTTCCACTCCACATAATTAAAAGTAATTTAAAAAAAAAGGAGGAGTCCTGGGCATGACATTAAGATACTAACATAGTGCTGGAAGTCCTAGCATCAGCCATCAGACAACAAAAGGAAATCAAAGGCATCAGAATTGGCAAAGAGGAAGTCAAACTTTCACTCTTTGCAGATGACATGATACTCTACATAGAAAACCCGACAGACTCCACCAGAAGCCTACTAGAACTGATTCAAGAATTCAGCCAAGTTGCAGGGTACAAAATCAACGTACAGAAATCGGTTGCATTTTTATACACCAACAATGAAGCAACAGAAAGAGAAATAAAGAAACTGATCCCATTCACAATTGCACAAGAATCCATAAAATACCTAGGAATAAACCTAACCAAGGATACAAGAGATCTGTATGATGAAAACTAATCTTATGAAGGAAACTTATGAAGGAAATTGAAGAAGACACAAAGAAATGGAAAAACATTCCATGCTCATGGATAGGAAGAATAAATATAGTTAAGATGTCATTACTACCTAAAGCACTCTACACATTCAATGCAATTCCAATCAAAATTGCACCAGCATACTTCTCAAAACTAGAACAAACTATCCAAAAATTTGTATGGAACCACAAAAGACCCCGAATAGCCAAAGTAATACTGAAAAATAAAACCAAAACGGGAGGTATCACCATCCCAGACTTCAGCCTCTACTACAAAGCTGTCATCCTCAAGACAGTATGGTATTGGCACAAAAACAGACACATAGACCAATGGAACAGAATTGAGAACTCAGAAGTGGACCCAAAAGTATACAGCCAACTGATCTTTGACAAAGCAGGAAAGAATATCCAATGGAAAAAAGACAGCCTTTTTAACAGATGGTGTTGGGAGAACTGGACAGCAACATGCAGAAGAATGAAACTAGATCATTTTCTCACACCATGCACAAAAATCAACTCAAAATGGATAAAGGACCTGAACGTGAGACAGGAAACTATCAACACCCTAGAGGAGAAAGCAGGAAACAACCTCCTTGACCTCCACCGCAGCAACTTCTTACTTGACACATCCCCAAAAGCAAGGGAATCAAGAGCAAAAATAAACTGTTGGGACCTCATCAAGATTAAAAGCTTCTGCACAGCCAAGGAAACAACCCAGAAAATTAATAGGCAACCAACGGAATGGGAAAAGATAGTTGCAAATGACATATCAGATAAAGGGTTAATATCCAGAATCTATAAGGAACTCACCAAACTACACGCCCGAAAAACAAACAACCCAGTGAAGAAATGGGCAGAAGACATGAACAGACACTTCTCCAAAGAGGACATCCAGATGGCCAACAGACACATGAAACGATGCTCAGCATCCCTCCTCATCAGGGAAATACAAATCAAAACCACACTGAGATACCACCTCACGCCAGTCAGAGTGGCTAAAATGAGCAAATCAGAGAACTCTAGATGCTGGCGAGGATGTGGAGAAACGGGCACCCTCCTACACTGTTGGTGGGAATGTAAACTGGTACAGCCCCTCTGGAAAACAGTGTGGAGGTTCCTCAGGAAACTAACAATAGAACTCCCTTATGACCCAGCAATAGCACTGCTAGGAATTTACCCAAGGGATACAGAAATGCTGAGGCATAGGAGCACATGTACCCCAATGTTCATAGCAGCACTCTCCACAATAGCTAAAACATGGAAAGAGCCTAAGTGTCCATCAACAGATGAATGGATCAAGAAGATGTGGTTTATCTATACCATGGAATACTACATGGCAATGAGAAACAATGAAATCTGGCCATGTGTAGCAACATGGATGGACCTTGAGGGTGTTATGCTGAGCGAAATAAGTCAGGCAGAGAAGGACAAATATCATATGTTTGCACGTATAGGAGGATTAGGAGGAACTTGACGGAGGAACAAGGGGGAGAAGAAGGGCGGAAATGGTGGGGGAAAGGGAGAGAGGCAAACCATGAGAGACTCTTGAATGCTGACAAAAACTGAGGACTGATGGATGTGGGGGGGAGGGGGGGATGGGCATGGAGGAGGGCACTTTGGGGATGAGCACTGAGTGTTATGTGGAAACTAATTTGACAATAAACTATTAGAAAAAAAAAAAGATATGAACTTGGGGCTGGGGCTACTTTTAT